AATCCTCCAGTTGAACGCTGAAATGTTTCCCAAAAGTCGATCTTAAACAAAGAATGCCTCCGGACGAGATCTCAGTGGCCCCTTTTGGAGAGGGACCCAAACGTGCCCATGGCAACTTCTTGGTTCTTTCGGTAAAGTCACGTAGAATGGAAATAATAAAATAGCAGTCCGGCGCACACCGCTGATGTCACGCCGCGTTCGTTTATCCACCGCAAAAAAATGTAATCTCTACGGCCTCTTTTAAAAAAAAAAAACACCATCTGGAAACGCTTACACCGAGTTTCCAATTATGAGTATTTTACGACTCCATTTATACTAAAATTGAAAAAAACCGGCTTGGAATTTTGTCCTTCGCTACAGGCTGAGACGGAGTTTGACTTCTATATATTTAGGGGGAGAGGCGCCATGGGGTTCGCTTTGTCCCTTACATTATGAATCGCAGGTGCATGTAATTAATTTTTTTTATTGTAAACTACTGAAAATGAATTAATAAAGGTATCCAATTTGGGCGGAGGTTTCCTCCGCCCCCTGCCCCCACCTCCGGCTAACTCCACCCATGACTATAGGTCTGGCACATGATTAAAATGGAAGGAATTAGCAGGGATTCGATTAGGGATCTAATGATTAACTTTAATCGCGATTCGATGGATTGTCACAATTCAGGTTCACGGTTCAAGAATATTTCTTTTAGCGGCTTCTAGTCGCTGGAGGGATCAAGTTAACTCATTCCACGCACACAATCAGATTAATAAATCATCTAGAGCCGTCAACGAATCGATGAATTGTTACACTCCTAATACAATACTTTGTGCGAACATTTATCTTGGTGATTTAAGTAATTTTAAAGCACCGTGCAACTCAAAACAAGAAATGTGTGCTTGCTTTTTACGATGCACCACCCGAATGGGGAACACATCGATAATAACATCAGTCCGCTATATCTCTGCACACAGAAACAAAAATAACACGCAAAGTACATATTCTTGGTTCTTTCGGTAAAGTCACGTAGAAGGGAAATAATAAAATAATAAAAATTCAACAATTAAATTCTCACGACGTTTCGATTGCAACACAAGCAATCATCATCAGGTGTGAAAACCACAGCAAGAAAATGTTGTTATTTGTTAAATGTGCTTGTGCGCCCAATATCAAGAGCAGCAAAACACCAGCAGCTGCACCAAACTACGCACAACAGCACGCGTGCATCTACCGAATTATAAGACGCACTGCTCTACGTTTGACTTTCCACCACAGTTGGCGTGAACCGACACCCCCGTGAAACGAGCGAGGTTCCATCCAGGGTCAGGAGTAGCAACCAAAGTAACAACAACAAGGGCCACTTGTTTCGAATTCGGTACAAATAAAAAAACTCTCGAATATTTCAAGAGTGGAATAACGTCATGAAGCAGGCCCTTTAAGAGCCCCAACGCGACTGCCGACCCCTGCTCCTCCTCGTGAACGCATATCCTAGTGAACTGTGAAGTGCGTCTTACAATCTGGATTGTACGATAACTAAACACGCACACATATATTGTTTAACACGTAGGCTTTCGCGACCAGTATCCATAATACAGGTTTTTTTATTAGGTTAGATCGTGTAAATGTATAAATGTGTCGTTAAATACGCCACCACCCGACAGCCAATTAATAAGGTTTATTACGTGAACAGAACATGCCAATTCGTTACTAGTTGTAATGACATAATGACACCTGCTGGCCCAGAAAGGGAAACACGGGTACGGTAATGATTAAGGGAACATCCAATCGGAGAGGGAGAGGTATCTGGGGCAAAGGTAACAGGTGGGGTTGGCCGAGATGCTCCGGGAACCTGCTCGAAGGTTCCACGAGAGGGCATGGCCAGAGGCGGGGCCTAGCCATGCCTGGGAGGCAGAGGTCGCAACCGGGTACCCGATACCCGTACCCTACCCGATACCCGGCTACCCATACCTGGCTGGGTACGGATACCCATTTGCGACCCTGGTGCGGCCGGGTATGGGTACGGGTAAGGAATCTAAACCCGTTTGCGACCTCTGCTGGGAGGGATGTAAGGGGGAGCGGACCCAGAGCTCGGGGTTCGCTTGAGGATTCTTGGGTCATGGCTTCGTCGCTGCTCGCCGTCATCTCTCTCCGTCGTATGGCCACGTGGAAGATGTCCTGCGAGGTTTCCATCGCCATCCTCGTCACGCCACCTGCCAGCGACCACGCCGAGTGATCGTCTGTGTGTAGCCAGTAGAGACGTTAATATCTAAGTGTTGTACTCAGGGTGAGAAGAATAAGGTTGGCCAGTGTTGTGCCCAGTGTGAAAAATAAGAACCCTTTACACAACGTGTCGCGGAAGTCGCTCATTACACTAGTACAGCACACCGGTGTGTTGGAGAGCAAAGCCTTTACAATCTGAGTACGACGTTTTGCCAGTAATTACAACCAGCTTCATCAGGCGACAGCCAGATTTGTGGAGAAATCCTCCCATTTCGTTCCTTCAATAGAGGGGTAGATGAGATGACATCACTTGTGAGCCCTTCTTGAGCAAATTGGTACGTTTTGTTTACATGACAAATCTTACTAATTGGCTGTGTCGGGTGTTGGCAGGTTTAACCACACATTTATATATTTAGATGATCTAACCCAAAAACAAGTAATATTAAAAAATAACTGTACTAGTAATGGCAGAACTCCACGACTCCAGGAAGTGGCCCGAAGCTTGCCATAACATAAGCGACCGTGGCCAATTACAGCCAACGTCAGTTTATCGTGGACAAAGTCATTGTTATGCAAGTCCAAGTCGAGTCTGAAGTCATCAAATTCATGACTCGAGTCTGACTCGAGTCCAAGTCACATGACTCGAGTCCACACCTCTGACAATTAGACCCAGGCTGAAACATAACATAAAAAATAATGTTTAAAAATATGTATTTTTTAATGATAGAATATAGTATTGTCATCAGTATGACATAAGTATACCAAGTTTGCAGTCGATACCACATTGGGAAGTGGGTTAAAATTGAGTTACAAGATTTGTGGATACAACAACGACAACAACAGGGTGAGTTAATAAAAAGCGTGTAAAAAACCCCGTATTATGGATAAATATTCTGAGTCGTGCTGTAATGGGATAAAATGAATCCGCGACAGAATGGATGATAAATTATGTTCATGTCGAAGAAAGCCAATCAGCGTCAATGGGCGGCCGAATGAATACACGAGCCTATGTGTTCGAGCATGGATCAAGCACGGATCAAGTTTCGTATAGTAAAAAAAATGGCTGAATCCCTTGTGCTGGAGCATAGATTCGTGAAAGAAACGCGTTGATTCCCGTTCTGGCATTCCTTACACGGGGCAAAGCCACCCGTCTTGACCATATTAAAAATCGTCGGTTTCTATGTGTTCGAGCATGGATCAAGCATGGCTCAAGCTTTGTATCGTAAAAAAAATGGCCAAATCCCTTGTGCTGGAGCATAGATTCGTGAAAGAAACGCGTTGATTCCCGTTCTGGCATTCCTTACACGGGGCAAAGTCACCCGTCTTGACCATATTAAAAATGGTCGGTTTCTATGTGTTCGAGCATGGATCAAGCATGGCTCAAGCTTTGTATCGTAAAAAAAATGGCCAAATCCCTTGTGCTGGAGCATAGATTCGTGAAAGAAACGCGTTGATTCCCGTTCTGGCATTCCTTACACGGGGCAAAGTCACCCGTCTTGACCATATTAAAAATGGTCGGTTTCTATGTGTTCGAGCATGGATCAAGCATGGCTCAAGCTTTGTATCGTAAAAAAAATGGCCAAATCCCTTGTGCTGGAGCATAGATTCGTGAAAGAAACGCGTTGATTCCCGTTCTGGCATTCCTTACACGGGGCAAAGTCACCCGTCTTGACCATATTAAAAATGGTCGGTTTCTATGTGTTCGAGCATGGATCAAGCATGGCTCAAGCTTTGTATCGTAAAAAAAATGGCCAAATCCCTTGTGCTGGAGTATAGATTCGTGAAAGAAACGCGTTGATTCCCGTTCTGGCATTCCTTACACGGGGCAAAGTCACCCGTCTTGACCATATTAAAAATGGTCGGTTTCTATGTGTTCGAGCATGGATCAAGCATGGCTCAAGCTTTGTATCGTAAAAAAAATGGCCAAATCCCTTGTGCTGGAGCATAGATTCGTGAAAGAAACGCGTTGATTCCCGTTCTGGCATTCCTTACACGGGGCAAAGTCACCCGTCTTGACCATATTAAAAATGGTCGGTTTCTATGTGTTCGAGCATGGATCAAGCATGGCTCAAGCTTTGTATCGTAAAAAAAATGGCCGAATTCCTTGTGCTGGAGCATAGATTCGTGAAAGAAACGCGTTGATTCCCGTTCTGGCATTCCTTACACGGGGCAAAGTCACCCGTCTTGACCATATTAAAAATGGTCGGTTTCTATGTGTTCGAGCATGGATCAAGCATGGCTCAAGCTTTGTATCGTAAAAAAAAATGGCCGAATTCCTTGTGCTGGAGCATAGATTCGTGAAAGAAACGCGTTGATTCCCGTTCTGGCATTCCTTACACGGATGCAAAGCCCCCCGTCTTGAGCATATTAAACATAAAAATTGTCATCAGTCATTCATTCTAAAAAAACACGTGTCTTGAATAGCTCTCTTCACACGCTACAGTAATTTCACTTGAGCAGTTTTACACCTGATGACGGAGGCTTGTGTTGCTTCCAAAACGTCGTGATTTAATTGAGTTATTTTAATTTATTATTATTTTACTATACCATTATTTTTTTTTTACCTACGTGCCTTTACCTAAAAAACCCAATAAGTATCAATCCCTGCAGTCACAAAAGCTTCCCATCAACAACCATCAATTCTTCTCGCCCGATTTTTCCCACACGTTGAAAAGGGGCATCTCCTGAGGAGCGAGTGCGAGGGAAACCCTCCAGAGTCTGACAACGCGGCCCCGCGCGGCGCAGGCACCTCCGAGGCCGCCCATGCGGGGGCCTCCCTCCTCTCCCGGCGTGCACCGCGCCCTCAGTCATCGCCATCTTTGCTAGCGGCGGAGGAGGAGGAGGCGGCGGAGGCTTGCGGCTCCCGCGGTGTTAGAGACGCGGCGGGCAGCAGCAGCGGAGGAGGGAGACGTCGGGGTTGAGGAGCCGCCACCCGGGGTTAGCTAGGAGGAGGAGCGACACGGAGGGGTGAGGAGACACAGGCAGCGACGGGGGGACCACCACCACCCACCCCCCCTACCCCCGACTCCAGCAAGCGTCGGGAGAGGCACGCGGCGGCCGGTGCGGCGACGATGACGATGATGGTGGTGGTGGTGCTGGTGGTGGTGGTGGTGCTGGTGGGGCTTCGCGCCGCCTGAGGGAGGCACACGGCGGAGGTGGGAGGAGGAGGAGGAGGCGGGGAGGAGGGGGCCGCGCCGGTGAGGGAGCGATAGGCGGCGGGGAAGCCAGTCAGTCAGTCGGTCAGTCAGTCCGTCTAACCTGGAGCGAGAGGCAGCCAGGCAGGCAGGCAGCCCGTCTAGCCCGCAGAGAGGGTGGAGAGTGGGTGCTTCTACTGTACCAGCCGGGATATATCCCCGAGGGAGAAAGGGGAGATAGTGCGGGGACAGTCAGTCCTAGCGGACTCTCTCTCTGGGACAAGATCATACCGATCAAAAGCGCAGGCAGTGCTGCTCGCCACCGTCTACATCGCCCGGAGAACGCGGCAGATCGAGGGAGGGAGGGAGGCGGTCTCCTGTTTAGCCCGCACAGCAGCGAGCTCACCTCGTTGGGGGAGAGGCAGGCCAAGTGACCGGATACGCCTGAGCGACGAGCCTTACAAAGCGATCACGGACACAGCCAGCCCTGCTGGCTTGGACAACCATCCTGGATATATAGAGAGCAAGACAGTCCGGCTTGGCCGGCGAGCGCTTCATCCCGGACGTAAGTCTGGGCGAGCTCATTAAGTCAAGCTCGAACCAACCAGCCCTTTATTATCTGGCTCATCAAGACACAGCCAGCTCGCCCGCCCACCCACCCACACGCCCATCCGGCCGGGGGTCTCCGGCGTGTCTCTCGCACTCCCCTCCGCACCGTGACCACAGAAGATGGCGCACCCGTCGGTGCCGCGGAGAGGCAGCCTCAACACGGGCGGCTTGGACGAGGGAGGAGGCTCGGTGCCGGGTCCTCAGCATCCGCAGCAGCATGTGCATCATCAGCAGCAGCAACAGCAGCAGCAGCAACCGAGCTCTCAGAGCCTACACATGCCCACCAAGAAGAAGAGCGGCTTCCAGATCACGAGCGTCACGGCCGCTCAGCCCAACAGCGTGGCCGAGGACACGGAAAGCTACGACGACCTGGACGAGTCGCGCACCGAGGACATTTCGTCGGAGATCTTGGACGGCTCTCGCAACGCCGACTTCGAGCCGGGTGCCTACGAGCGCAGCTCCTCGGAGGAGACGCTCAACAACGTGGGCGAGGGCGTGGACACGCCGGCTCTCACCCCCGTGCACGCTCAGGGCGGCGTCTTCATGGTCAACGGGGGCCCGCACATCGGGCCCGGCAACGCGGCGGCTCAAGGGCACAGCGCGGCCGTCAACCTCACCGCGCCGACTCGGGTCGCCCCCTCCCCAGCGGCGGCGGCGGCGGCGGCGGTGGCATCGACAGCACCAGCAGCAGCGCCTCCCTCGAGCCAGACGGTCGCGGGACCCGCTGTGGCGGCCGCGTTCTCGGCTCAAGCTCAGCCCGGAGTGGCGTCTCCCAGAGCGGCGGCGGCGGCGGTGCCTCCTGCTACTCCTCCCCCGGCGGCGCAGGCGATGGTGGCGGCTCCCGTCTCCGTGGCCACTGCGCCCTCCTCACAGGTAGCTCCCTCCAACCAGCAGCAGCAGCAGCAGCAGCCCCACCACCACCACCACCATCTACCCGTGTGCAGTTCGCGCTTCCGCGTAGTGAAGCTGGACACCACCACCGAGCCCTACAAAAAGGGTCGCTGGACTTGCACTGAATATTACGAGAAAGAGAGCGCCTCGTTAGCGGCTGATGCGTCCGCCGCCGCCGCTTCTGCTGCTGCTGCTGTTGCAGCTTCAGTTGTGGCTGCGGCCGCCAGGAATAATGTGAACGACTCTATGAAGGAGAGCGGCGCCACGACTCTGGTTGTTGCCGCGTCCTACAACGCGGCCGATGCTGCCAGCAGCGCTGCGCTGGCACGCGTGAATTCGTTGGATTACGGATCTCAGCAGGGCGGTATTAACGCGGTGAATTCGGGCGTGCCCGCGGCGTTCAACAAGCAGCAGGGCAACACCGTAGGGCACAATATCCAGCAGCAGCAGCTGTCAAATGTGAATGCTTTTGTGCAATCGGCGGGAGGGCAGGGTTCGATACAAACCGTGGGCATGCAGCAGGTGGTGAGTGCTTCCACTCAGCCGCAACCACCACAGCAGCCGCAGCAAATGAGCTATGCCGGGCAGCAGCAGCAGCAGCAGATGGGTGTGCAGCCGCAGGGTCAGGCGATGATGGGGGGCAGTGCTTTGACTCAGGGGTCACTAACGGTGACCCAGATGCCGGGGCCCGCGCAGACCGGTGAAGGGAACGCGGCCACTATGGCCTCCTCGCAGCTCGGCGGGCAGCACCCACAATCCACACCGGGTGTGCCCCAGCCGCAAGCATTGGGACAGCCGGCCCAGTCCATAGCCCATCAAGTGATTCACAATCCGGCTGCGACCCAGCAACCGTACATTGCGCATCAGGGGTCAGTGGCGTCTCAGGTGACCCACCAGCAGCCTCAGCCAGGGCAACCACTCGGCCAGCAGACACTGTTGGGGCAGCAGCAGCAGCAGCTTCCGCAGGTGATGCAACAGCCGCAGCCAATAGGACAGCAAGCTCAGCAGATGGGGCAGGCTTCAATGCAGCCTCAGTTAGGCCAACAGCAGCAGCAGCAGCAACAACCAGGAGGACAGCAGCCACCAGTGATGATGGTCGGGCAGCAGCTTTCGCAGCATAATCCTCAACAGTCCCCTCAAGTGGTGCAGCAGAATCCCATGATGCCACAGCAGCCACCTCAGTCTCCATCTCTGGTACAGCAGCAGCAAGCCACGAGCCAGCAGCTTTTCCAACCGCAGACACAACATCCAATAGCACAGCAAGCTTTTCCTCAGCAGTCAATGCCTACACATGCGCTGTCGGAACAACAGCAGGCCATCAACCAGCACAACTTTCAGCAGCAGCAGCAGCAGCAGCCATTGACACAGCAGGCTCAGCCTATGACACCACAGCAAGCTTTCTCTCAGCAGCCACCAATGCAATCACACGTGCTGTCAGAACAGCAGCAACAGGCCCTGAGCCAGCCTGCTTTCCAGCAGCAACAGCAGCCTCCCATGCTCTCGGATCAACAGTCAATGCAGCAGCCGCAGGCATCCCAGCCAGTGGGACCGCCAGGCCCCGTGCTTCAACCGCAGCAACAGCAGCATGCGCAGCTGGTTGTACAGCCACCACAGCAGCAGCAGCAGCAGCACGGGCTACTGCCCCTGCAGCAGATCCTGCCGGTGTCGGGTCTCGCATCGGGCGCCCCCACCGGCAGCGCCGCTCCTCAACCCCTACCACTCGGCTTGCAGCATCCTCTCACCCTCGGTGGCGATCTCGGCGGATACGGCGGCAGTTTCCTCCCACAAGCGGCCGCTTCCTTACTGCTCCAGCACGGGCAGCAGCAGCTGAGTCACCAGCAGAGCCAGGCGCTGTTCTCTCTGGCGTACAGCGTTGCGCAGACACAACACCAGCTGCCCGGCGGCCACCCGGAGGATCCGTCGGGAGCGGCTGCCCACGGGGAGGTGCACGGCGAGAGCTTCGCCGGAGGAATTCCTGTCATCCCGCAGCTGCTGCCCATGGCTGTCGGCGCCACGCAAGGCCTGCTGGAGTCGGAGGAAGAGAGGTAACCGCTCGCAAGCGTGCTCGCGGGTTGCCAGTGTGCGCGCAGTGTAATGTGTGCACCGTTATTCATCTGCCCTCCTTCGCCGTGTCAATTGTTCGCCTGCATCTCCAACTTTTTGCTCTGGCCATTAAGCGTTTCTCAGTCTGTGTCCACTGTGTACAGCCAAGTCTTTTCCAGACTTGGAAGTAACAGCTGCTGTGTAAAGGTATAATTTCTTGGCATAGAGAGTGGAAAGTGTGTAAGTGGTTTCGTGATGCAACATCGCATTAGGCTTCGTGCGCTGTGTCACTGGTATTTCACCCACGTTGCAATGTGTGATTTAGAGCTCCTTGTATAATGCGTTTTTATAAGTGGATCAACGAGCTTTAAGTGTGATGACAGTTCTTCGGAAAAACGCGGAGAGCGAATTAATCTTCGGAGAGAGCCAACCAACATCTATTGGCCAGACTGCGGTATGAGACCGTCGCGAAGTGATCAGCGTGTTGTGTGGCACCGTAGATTTAAAATTGGACAAAACTTGGGTCGCGCTTTGTGCGTGCACGTCAGCCAAAATGTCTTCCATAGTGTGCGTAGCCTTCTTGTGCCACGAGGGAGAAAGTTTGCTGTCGGCTGTGTGTTTCCCGCAAGAGGCTCATGAATCAATGGTTGGCGTGTCAGGCAGGCGGTAACCCCTCTGGCCCCATGGGAGTGTTTAATTTTCTTGGACGGTGTGACCAGTACTTTTGCATTTGTGCATGTTTTATCTTCCCAATGAGCCAAATTTCCACGTCTGAATTGGGAGTAAAACTTTAGAAGTCATTGTGAATGTCTAGTTTAAGATTAAAGATATATAGTCAGCTATTAGCGACTCGGGTGGGGAGCAAAGCAGCATTGTGATGGTGATTTAGCAAATTTCGGGCAAGTGAGCAGCACTAGAGCCTCCAACCTCAACCTTTGGTCAACACTTCGACAGAAGATGGGCAAGAGCTGAAGGTCATTTCTTTAGGACACTTTTTTCCCCCCCAAAGCTTTTTACACTGCAAGTGTTGTTACTAACAGGCCACTTTTAGGGGACTTGTCATGTTGGTTTAGCACGGGCTGGCCGTGGAAAGTTAAAGGGCCGCCACTTCCTTCTAGGTACATGAGTTAAAGGTACACTCTAAATACAGTCAGTCTCATAGATACATTGAAAAATAACACTTTACAAGTAAATAAAAAAAATAGATACATCTCATACTGTATCTTTTATTGAAGTAATACACTTTTGGTTTTATTGACTTTTCAAAGATATTCCTCTTCAGAATATAAAACCGAAGTACTTAACATGCTCTTCTGATTTTTCACCAATGTTTTGCCATGCACTTGAAAATGTTAACTTTTTGCATTCGGCTTCAATTATTAAGTCCCTTTAATCTCTCGGGCATCTTAACGGTAGACGGTGGTCGGTTGTAAATTGATCGTAACTGTCATTTAAATGACGGATGGTACTAGAAGTTTTGAGGTCGACCTGAAGTTACAAAGCCAATACAATAACACTTGAAGCAAATCAAAATATAATGGGTCGAATATGGAGTAAACCAGGAAAACCCTGAAATCAATACGAAGCCTGAATGAAGACTTCGGTTCAAAAGGCAGCGACCCAATGATGGTACACCCTTAGCGTTTAAACTGAAGTAATAATGATTGTAATTACATCCACCATAATCAAATTTCAAGCACGAACGTGGGCTGGAAATAACGTCCGTCGGCAAGTGGCAAAGATTGAAGTATTGCTGAACACTCGATACGTTTCCAGCTGTCGACTTGCAAAGCGCTCGTCTGCCGAGACGCGCAGGGCAAGGAAGAATTTGAAAACTTGCTCCTGCGGGCCAGAGAAAACAGCATGAGCGGTGCTAACTAAACAATTAGCAGGTGGACAAGTGAGTGGGTTGCATAGCTGTGGCCCCCCTTCCCCACCACCCCCTGTTGCCACATTTCAAACTCTTGGGCGACCCACGCTGAGACGTTAATGCCGGTTTTCAAGGTGTTGTTTGGCGTTGGGAAGAGCCTTGCCTAGCCTTGTGCCTCTCAGCATGCGTTGCCCCTTCCCTGCTACTCTGGCTTGACTGCAGATATTTTACCCAGTGAGCATCTTCTAAGTTGACTGAGCCTGAAATGATTACCTGTTATGTTACCCTCCCGCCCCCACCACTTCCACCACCACCGCCGCCACACGCCTTCCATCCACCTCTTTCTTTTTCAGCTTGAAATAAGATCCTGGTTCTGGTTTGTGAGAACAGAATGTTTTGATCGGCACAAAGAGGTCAATTTGGTCACGGAAACCTGCCGCTCAGCTTTGATATATATGTCTTGCACACGGGTTTAACCAGATGGTTTTTTGTCTTGGAGGAATGTGTCATTATAGTGAAAATACGACTTAAACCGCCACCTCCCCACCCCACCGGGTCAATTCTGGGGCAGCTCGCCGCATCTAACTTTGTGCCAGAGCTCGACCCTTCATTCGAGAGCGGCCACGTGCATTCGGACGGAGCCGCCAAACCCCCTTGGAAAAACCACAGCTTGGACGGATGTACGTGTAATTCGCTGATCTGCATGCCCACACCTCAAGCTGTGCCAAAAGTTATTCCGCGACAGATTTGGTCGCTTAACGCCGAGCGTGGCCGCTTGCAGCTGTGCACCGCTTTGTCCCGGAGCAGCTTGCGCGCCGATCGGGATGACGTCGCTGCCCATTCTCTCTGCCGCCGCCACCAATGCCGTCGCTCCGAAAATCCTAGCAGCATAGAGCCAGTCTGCTCGCCGGCATTTGTAAATTCTCTGGCTTAAATTGTTTAACGTTAAATGTAGCCGAGCACAGCGCATTGTCTCGAGGTGGGTCACGTGCGCACGGCTGACGTCAGTGCCCCCCATGCATTCATCCCTCAGCGGCTGCGCAGTTGTGCTCATTTTATATTTGCTCTACATTTTGTTTCGCCGGATTAAGTCGTTTGGCAGGTGTCGCGCTGCTCAATTTATGGGGTTGGCGGGGGGGCCGGCACACGCGTGTGCCCCCCCCCCTCCATGTGCGCGCGTGTGCACAGCGGCGGCGCCACCGAAACGCCCGACAGGAATGCAACTCGAGCCGCTTAATGTGGCGCCAGCGCCCGTTCGCCTATCGCTCCCCCCCCTCCCATCCCACCCGCCTGCCGCCCCTTTCCTTGCGCACGCGCGCAAACATTTCACGCCATCAAATGTAGACGCTGTGAGGCGTCCCGGCTTTGGTAACGTGCGTAACTTGCCGCCGTCACGGTGGGACGTTGGCGTGTGACGACGCTTCAGTTAGTCGGCTAAAATCGATTCGTACGCTCAAGATAAAGGCACACAATTGCGCGTCGTAAGAATCGATTACTGATTTCATTCTTGTACGTGAATGGACCTTTGCTAGACATTCTCGACAATGTAACAAAACTAATAATCAATTCTTGACAATTGGTATAATTTTGAAGGATTGGGTGGGGGGTGCTTAATATTAAACTCCGAGTGATGTCTTGTTCACATTAGCATTTAGGCATTGGTACTTATCTTCTATTTACAGCCCTGAGCCAGTGGTGAAAATCCAACATTTCTATGGTGCGAGTTAGTCTATCCATATGACAACCACTGTCCAATATTAGGAAGCCACTGGAGCTATGCACATTTAAATTTTGATTGAAAACTCATTTCTTTAGAGCTGCTTTTTGTGTTTAGTTCGGTTTCTTTCCCCCGCACCTCCGATTAGCACGGTTGGCTACGTGCGGTGCTTCAAGAAGTACAACATACGTACGTATGTCTATCCATCTTCTTGGTTCTTTCGGTAAAGTCACGTAGAAGGGAAATAATAAAAATTAAACATAATAAAATACAAGTGAGAATTGTATTTTATTATGTTTTATTTAATTTTAATTATTTTATTATTTACCTTCTACGTGACTTTACCGAAAGAACCAAGAAGATGAATCCCTGCAGTCACGAAAGCCTTAAATCGAAATATGTCTATCCATATGACGTATGTATGTTGAACTTGTATATTGAGCTTCTATCGCACCGTACGTAGCAAACCATGCTAAGCGGAGGTGCGACTTTGACATTCACCTAAATTGGTATTCGCTTTATTGACCCCCGTAGGAAATGACGTGACCTTGCAACCTTTATATTGCGAGCCACTTGCTCTAACCGGTGAGCCACCCGGTTAGTTAATAGGAAGTGGGCAAAATGTCCCTTAAGAAATGTACCGACTCCCTCTTGCTCGTGTTTATGCTGGCAGGATGTGTCATTGTAATCATGTGATGGAAAGGCTTTGGGCCGTGGAGACCTTAACAGTGATTCCCCCCCCTCCCTTGCGATTATGGGCCTCTTGTTGAGCTTAGAAGAGAGCATGTAAGTTGCGACCCTCCTCCTCCTCCTCCTCCACTTGTTCCCACCGTCGCTCACACGCAGTTTGCCTTCCTGCTCAGGTGGCATGTAACAATTCAGCCCCTTACTCCCCCTCCAACACCGCCCCCCCCCACCAGAGATTTGATGAATGGTCACGCTTCATTGCCACAATTCGATTCAACAAGTGATTATTTTCTGCCAGCTCGCTTTTGGACATTGTAGATGCGGAGGCATGCACTAAGGCAGGGGTCGGCAACCTACGGCTCCGGAGCCGCATGCGGCTCTTTACGGGCTGCTTCTTGACGATGAGTACAGTATGTACTCAGATGCATTGCGGCTCTTGAAATACTGAATTTTGTACCGAATTGGAAAGAAATGGCTCTTCTTGTTATTTTGGTTGCCGACCCCTGCACTAAGGAGTACCACAATGGAATTTTCCGCATTGCCCTTCACTGCGCACGTAGCCCAGCATTGATGTAATTTCTGCGAGAAATTTCCTGAACGTTTTTCGTTCATCGTAAATAATTGACTCTTATGCACGAGCAGCTAAAAAAAAACCGCTCTTGTCCCCACGTAAGGAATAAATTCATTTTAATGCAGCTGATCGCCGCGGTGTGCCACCAGCCCCGCAG